AATCGTCGGCAATCATTACTCTTAATCAATCAGTAAAGATGATTGAAATTTACTTGGTATGAAATAGGATACGATTAGTTTGTCAACTCAATCCGACAAGAGGATTGAAATTACGTTCTGAAAAAACGTATATCATCCCGCTCTCCTGTTTAGTACTGGAGTCGATAACTAAGCCTAGTTAGTTACGATGTCCGCCATCATAGAATAAAAATTTAAAAAAAGTTCATACCATCAAAAATATATTAAATTTAAGAAACTTATTATTTTGTGTAGCTCGAGTTAGTTACCATCGATTACGTCACTTCAAGCACATGTAAAATCTCAACTTACATTTATTTTCCAACATCTACGTAACATTTGAAAGCTACAACACCGCTTCCTCAGCCTGTTGCCAACCATGAATAACAAAAACTCTGATCTTTATAAATGATTTTTGTTATAATTGTATTTTAAGGGGATATTTATTTATCAACTACGTCAACCTTCATATATGAAAAGGTACCTCATGATGAAATCAAGTTAACGTGTCTTATATACTAGTGATTTGGTATTTAATATTTGTAGTGGTAGTTACGCCACATTACTACCTCTTGATTTGGTATTAACTTAAAATAAAGTAACCATTCACGCAATTTTATGACACCGAATCCTGATGGGTATTGCATCACAGTTTTTACCGTGTAGAAACATTCAAAATGCAAAATGATTAAAATGAAAAGAAAAAACTCATTCTGTAAAATTATCAACTCCAAGATGTTTCGAAATCAACGTCTGCTTTTTTTATTAGTCTTGCACTTTTTTGATTTCAACACATATGTTAACCAGTCTTTTTTTCTGGCTCGTACGTCTCTTTATTTGTAATAGTGGTGTTGAAATAAAACTTATCAAAAAATGTGCCGACATTAAAAACTTAGAACAACACTTAATTTTCCTAAACTAATTAATAATCCGCTTTTCAAACAGGGTCAAACAAAAAGTAAACAATCAACGAATTGATATTAATATTACACAATCATGTTCAAAACTTAAAGGCATATGTGGCTTATTTAGGAAAAATATATAAGAGATTGTCCTTCCGTAGGACTGATTTAATGTATAAAAATGAAATAAACACGTTTCGTAAACTTGACTAAAAACATTTTTAACTTGTTTTTTTAATAGATCATAAAATGGTATTTACTGTTGATTTGTTCTAGAGTTAAGGCCCGCTGTTCTCTCATTATCGCTTTTTAAATACCTCCATTTTAATAATAGCAACCCTGGAGTTATTATTTACGGTGTTTTACGGTTATTATTTACTGAGGAACCAAATTACTTACGGTGTGACTGTGTAAAAGAAATATTTTAAAACTTAGTTCGAAGTAATAAATTATTTTTCCGGAAAATATTGTGATTCTTTTCAAAATAATACTTTGTGCCAATTTTTATTTTTAAATGCAATTAAATTACAGATATAGGTTTGAAAATACACAAAATATATAATAACACTAAGTGGTGCTTAAATGCATATAAACTTAGCTTTGATTTTTATTGAATCTCATTCAGAAATTCAGAAGGGCTATTAAAAAATAAAAATCTCCTCATACCAGAAATGTTTATGAGATTCAGAAAAAATATTTTTTTAATAGTCGGCATATTTTTAAAGTTAATATTATTTAAAGATGACTTTTTCGTAAAAACAGTATTATTTTAGATTTCAAATAGCAAAAGTATAAACTTGCAAAATTTTTAGCGTGTTTTTTATTCAATGGGATAATTGCAAGTGATGTAGGTTGGGTGTCTCGATCCTGATTAGTTGCTGAAACGCGGTATTTGTTTACGTTAGCAACTGCTCTCTCTATTTTATTTCGAGTAAGTCAAACCCGTCAAGTACCAAATCTTTTAAGGGACACATTCTATATTCTTACACATAGACTCTTTCACAAGGAATTCAATCCTTCCACTATATATATTTAGTACTCAACAAGAACTATGAAGCCATAAACAAACTAATGATGCATCGAAGTTGCCAGGTGCACTAAACAAAAGTGTATGAGGGTTACAATAAAATACATAAACTAATAATAAATCTAAGATAAGTAATATAAGTAGACGAGAAAGAATTATTTTCCAATACGAGAAAGAATTATTTTTCAATACGAAAGAATTATTTTCAGACGAGAAAGAATTATTTTATTTTTCAACAAATTCGATGTGCGAGACTGCACTGTATTTCATTAACATCACGTTAATTAACATTCTAACTTACGTAGAGAAACTTAACTGAACTTAAATACGTCATTTTTCTCAGAAACGATCAGCTGGCACTGATGTCCTCACATGTATGGGTATCTGTGATCTTCTTCTTCTTGAAGTGAAAGTATCGGATTCTAACACAGTTTGAACTATTCTTTCGAAGGAAAAAAATGAACTAATGGCAATTTTCAACCAAGTACAGAATCTTAACCTGTTATATTAGTCTAATGGGCGTTCAGTAATTTCGCAATTTGTAAACAACGTTTGTAAAGAGATTAAAGTAGATCATCCATGTGAAACCTTCAATCCATTTAGTTCAAACAAGCTTTAATTGCTCTAAGTAAGCAATGTCTGATTAACTTATTAAGTACTAGTCATGAATCAGATGTAGGTAAATTTAGTAGCTCGTTTGTAACGGAAATCGTTATCGCATTTATACGTTATACATCGATCTTACATACGAAATTAATAGTGTATATAGTAAACACGATACCATCTCTCTTGAAATGAGTACCAGTATTATTAGTTATTAGATATATGTTTCTGATTTTCGTTACTTATTATCTGTAATAAATTGAAATTGAGTATGTATTGAGTCTGTAATAAATTGAAATTGAGTATCAAAGTTGCTCTAATTAAAATCTGTCTGTTTTTTTAGTATAAAAGTCTACGTCTGTCTATGTTTTTTTAGCATAAAAAAAAACTAAGCGGAAAAATTAGTATACACGGTGATTCGAAAATATTTTATAATTTACGAAATTATCCATAAATAATCAAGTTTTTCAACTGTGTGAAGTTTAATTACTGGCTTCATTAGTTCCAGTGATAAAACGAAATAAAAAGAAAGCTAAATTAACATTGAGGTAGCAAAATTTTCAAAAACTCTCCTGTCTAAACTTATAGAACGCTGCTTGTATAATTGCGGTTAATCTTCATAATTTCGCCCTCAAAAACTCAACATGTAAAGAAAACATGTTCATTCAGGAAATGACGTGTCCATGGCCAACTTCGTAAGTTAAAATACCATCTGTAGCATATTTCAGTGACACCCTCGGATAATTAGAATTGCATCTCAAAGTGTAAAAATCCGATCAGTAGTTCAAAAGTTACGAAGAAGTTTCGTTTCAGTTAGATTTCTGAGGAAATTGATCCAGAAATTGAATAGAATTATTGCAAAAAACCAACTTAGTTTATGTTAAAATCCAAGCAAAATGCTCAACTTAGGATTTGTTTTTGTTTTTTTGCCTTGTCAAGACTTTTGAAATAAAATTTAGCATGGCAAGAAAATTAATGAAGGAATGAAACAGCGAAAAAACGCCAGTATCAAAAACGTCATGTATGAATTTTATTTTGAATTGGGTACTTGCACTTCAAGAAGAAGAAGATCATGGATTTATCACTAATTTATTCACTAGAATATCACTAATTTATTCCCTGACATGTCTCAAGTCTCTCAAGAAGCATAGTAAAATTATGAAACATTAAATAACCAAAAGCTTTTCCAAGCTTTTTTGTGGTTTTCTTTAAGACAGAATTGCTTTTTCAGAAAAAAATAAAAGTTCAATTTAAATAAAAATCTTAATTTTTAGATTCAGATACTTGAAGAAAGCTTGAAAAAGTGATATGAACTAAGTATTTCTCTTTCTCTGAATTGTATATATATATATATGTGTGTGTGTTTGGCCAAAGTCCGAAGTCCGGTCAATCTGGCCGGACTTCTTGGTGAAAGTCCGAAATTTTCTTGATTTCGGGATTTGGCCGGCCGGATCGCGAAGTGGCCACGATGTTCCAGCCAAAGTGCGAAATAATTGAAACGATCACCGAATATTCTACTTTGGCGGCCTTCTATAATTATATAAATAATTCTTATAAATCTTCTAATTTAGAAAAAATAGACAAGTTTTTAAATTGTCAATTAAATAATCATTAATTTAATAATGATTACTAAATTGTCTATTTAATTGTTTTTTTAAAAAGTTAATTTGCTAATATTGCCCCCTTTTGTTTTCTTTTTTAATTAAAGAATGTAAATCTTCTGATTTAAAAATATAATAAAATAAACAAATTTTCAGATTAAAATTTAAAAATTTTAATTTTTTACTTTGTCTCAAATGAAATCAGGAAAAGATCGGACATTGGCCGGAACATCGTGGTCACTTCGCGATCTGGCCGGTAAATTCCCGAAATCAAGAAAATTTCGGACTTTAGCCAGCCAATTTACATCGTTCTTGGCCAGATCGTGAATTGGCCGACTTCGGGCTTTGGCCGTAACATATATATATATATATATACGCTTTTTTGTTGCGTTTTCATTTCTCCCTAATCAGGCATAAACTAAGGAAGAAATGCACGGCACTTTTCTCCAAAGTTCCAAAAATAGTTTCAATGTTTTCTAGTAGATGGAACTAGTAAACGAAAAAAATAATAAAAGATTATTTTCAAATCAACCACTAATTTGAGCAGCAACGTAAGATTTTCTGAAGATGGCATTTAAAGCCAAACGTGCAAATATTTCAAAAGAAATTGTCTGGCATTCAGCAAGAAACAATACTTTAATATCAGCAGCGCTATCTAACTAATAAACATTTTTTAGTAATTTTATTTTTGCGTGAAAAAATATAAGCGAATTTCCATTGCAAAATATGACAAATCGTAGCGTTTTATTTTAACAGATTTTTTTTTAAATCGGGGACATTTCTGGGACACTTTTTAATCATGCTTCATTTTTCTAATACATTTATTAACTTTCTTTTTTTTTAATTTAGATGCTCCAAAAATAGCCAATTTTTCCTTCCACAACAACTTATACGAAGGTAAAAGAACAGCTGTAACATGCATTATAGTAGAGGGAGATGGACCTATATCTACTACTTGGCTTAAAGATGGTATACCATTTGATGCTAATGATCTTGGAGCTGTTTTAACGTATGCTGATGAGAATTTTGTATCTACATTAACATTCAAGAACTTGACATACAACCATAATGGTAATTACACATGTGTGGCCAGAAATGAGGTTGCCTCTACATCGCATAGCGCAGTTCTTGTCGTTAGAGGTACGTTTTTAAATACCTTGTCATTAGGTGGTATCAATATGATACCACATAGTTTTTGATTGAACATGCTTCGTCTTAGATAATGTAGTTTTTTGGTTAATCTATTTTACATTTTTATTAGTATTTAAATCAAATCTGAAACTAAATACATACGTTTATTTAATTTAACTTTCGTTTATTTCTCATGACATTGATCATTCAGCAGTTATAACACCCGATGAAAATGGATAAAATCTAATAAATCCGTCGTAGTTATCAATAATCATGCGATTGATCTCATAAATGATGTTTTGTTGACATTTATAATCACTCTTAATTTATAATCACTCTTCATTTATAATCACTCTTGTTTAAAGTAATAACTAGAATCACGGTTTTATGTCTTATACAAAACATTTAAAACTAGGATCTGTGGATTTTGTTTAATGGATCTGTAAGTTTTAACTGTCGATTAACATGAATATAAATATGTATTGTAATAAATGATAGTGAATATAGATAGATAAATAAAACTAGGAAAAAAACTAAAATTTAGCATAATTTTTATAAAGCAAAATAAAACTATTAGTTAACTTTATAAAGCTTAAGTTATAAATTATATTAAAAATAAAATCCAGTAAAAATTGATTAAAATATAAAACTTAATATAACCTTAGTAGTTATGGATAGATAACCATATGATTCTGAAAAGTGATTAACCCTTTGGTGCAGGATTTTTATTAAACTTATTTTTCATACTCTTTTCATTATTTTGTAGTAATTTAGGTCAAAATTAGTGAAAAATATTATATTTTGCATTTTAATGATTTATGGTTATGAAATACAGCGTGAAACACCGATTTCTTTTTCTGCACTAAAGGTAAAATCTTCCAAATAATAATTCTTAGAATTTGCACTTATTTAGATCTAAAAGAAACAATTATTCATGATTGAAATTCTTTTAACTTACAGAATCGATTATTGATAAATTTTTGAATATTAATGAATAAAAAATTCTGATTACTTTTTTTTTAGATTTTAATTTTTAGCACAGATACGATTCTAATAATCTAACTGATTGTAGTTTAGTGACTATTAGACTGTTTCTTTATAATTAAAAAAATACCACAAATTATATTTTTGTTTTAAACGTCATAAAAATATATAAAAATGGGACTGGTGTTCCATCTGCGTCAAAGGTTTAAACATAACTGATGTTTATATTCACAATTATTTATAGTAATATCGAGATTAGTCTAGGCTTTATGCCACATACATACTTTGGAAATTATCATCTGTAGATTTTATTCAATTGCTCTGTGAATTTTAACCGTCTGTTAATACACTTCAAACTTTTTTATTGTGATAAATGTTTGAGAATATGGAAAGCGTAACAAATCAAAAAAGTCGTTGAGAATTCTTGGAAAAGTTTTGTTTAGTCTAGGCAAAATTTGTTTATTAAACCAAAATAAAAGTTTATAGTAATCCTACTAAACCTAGTAAGTTTAGAGTTACTATATCCCATAAAATATTAGAATTTAAATCCAGCAAACACAAATTAAAGTAAATCATAATATAACATTAGTAACTGTATGTTGTTAGTCATGAGAATAATAAATGATTAAACATCATAATGATTTTATTTTTTAGTTTAAAGTAATATCGAGAATAATTACACTCAGCAAAAATAATGTCTTCTTACAAACACCAGCTTGCAAGTAAAGAAATAAAATAAAACAATCTCAGACTTGTTCTCGTATCCAAAAAATAAATTATAAATTAAAGGTTTAAATTGGGGCAATATTTAGACGTTAGATGACTTTTAGAATTCGAAGCCATTAAAAACATTCTTAATGCGAAGAAGAGAAGATTTAAGATCTAAGAAGAAAATATTTTAAAGCTGTTGAAGAAAACATTCCAAAAATAAAACATTAAGTGAATACATTTGCGAAACTAAATTGAATACTGTCTCCTTTTACGTTCTTTTAATGATTAAGAATATTTTTAGTCCCTCCTAGATGGATAATAAAACCCACTAATGTAACAGCTGTGGCCGGTCGACCAGTAAAAATTGAATGTCAGGCAGACGGTGTTCCATTACCACATGTACGATGGAAAATGTCTTCTTCTGGTAAGTAACCATTTATCTTCATTTAAGGTAAGAAAGTAAATTTAAAAGTAGTTACAATTTGTTGAAAGACCGAAATTAATCATTACTTAAAGCTATAATGAGAACGGTAATAAAGATTCGAAATTATCTTTTAGTCATTTTAAAGTTCCCGGATTTGGTGTCTGAGTTGAATAAAAATTATTTATCAAGATAGGGATGGGTATTTTCTGTTTTTGAAGTAACTTGACTGAAGTAGCTTGCATTAGAAGAATTATTTCTCTTATTTAATTCATTCTTGTTATAGAATACATAATATTAAGAATGAATGAATATTCTGAGTAGTAGTTATTAAAATAAAACTTCTTCTGCAGTAAAAATGGATCAGGGATATTTGGAAGGAAATATATATATGACAAAAATGGCATTGTATTTTTTTAATACTTGCCTCATTTGAGGACTAATATTGCTGCCATAAAAGTAGATTCACTCAAGGATTCCTTGCCATTTAAGAGTTTAATTAAAATATTACATTTTTGAATTTTATGGATTACATTTTGAAGATTTAAAGCGAAAAAATTATATAAGTGTCAGTTAAATCAGAAAACAAAAGATAAAGCAGAGAAAAAGTGATATTTACGTGTTTTATAAAGCAAAGAATTTTGACTTGATAAAAAATAACCCTAAATAATGATTGTATGAAATTTTCATTCTCAAAATTAGTGCTTTTTTATGTTATCAATAGTTCCAATGTAGCGCTCACTTTAATTGAGTAAATTAATCATAATAAGCAATTGATTTAACTGGGCATAGGTAATATGTTGAACGTGCTGAAAGAACTTATACTTAAGAAGGACTGTGGTAAACAGCATATGGTATGGAAAATTAAGAATTCCTTCCTATTATTTCTAAATCAGTACTTAATATCTATAACTTTATTTCCTTTTATTGTCAAAATTAATGGTTTCAAAAATGTAAAAACTGTCCTAATTTGCAAGTGTTTTGGACAAAGTTCCGATAATAATTCTTATTTTTTACTTGCAAGTGTTCAAAACGTATCAAATACAAAAAGACATGATTTTTTTCCATTTCGGCATAACATTATTAAAATGCCTGACATGCTTCTGATAGTTTGGACGAAACTTCTTTCCGTTTGGACGAAAGATGTACGCTTCAGGTAGAAACTCGCATGCGCAGACGTAGAGTGACTGAAGATTTAGACTTTAATTGACTAGAACTAGAGACAGTGCACAGAAATATCTGTAAACTGGTTACAGTAATGATATAAATTGACCAGTCCATTTTATTTCGTTTCTAATTAAATCTACGTGTTACTTGCTATTTGTCTTAGTATGTCTTTGAAGTCTTAATTACTGTTCAATTTATAAGTTATGCTGAAATCTCTTCTTAGTTTTTATTGTTCGTTTCACATAGCATCGATACCAAACCAGATTTAAAAAACACAAATCATTATGATTTCCTCTAGACTTTAAGCAAATGCAAATCATTTTCAATGATGAAATGTGACAATTCTGCTACCTGGTGACTAACTACGCAACTACCAAATCGACGAGCAAACTAAAACAAAATCTCAAATTATAATCAAAGAGTCGCTGTTTCTGGAATAGAGGGCTCACCCCCCAATGAGAGAACTCGGGTTCGAATCCCAGCGATGGCTGATAATACGAATTCTGCTCCCCTCTCCCACCGACCACAGTGCGGAAGTTATATATTTTTAATGGTAGCCGAACATGAATTTCAGCCTCCTTACCATCGAGCTAATCCAGCGAGGCAAGTCCTCCACGAAGGTTAGTTTGCCCTAATACTTGACTCGGGAGTTCCCTTATCTTCTGTGCTATGTTCAGAATGACAAAACTGCCGAGTTGACCATTGATAGTCAGAATTTAGTCAGAATCACAGCATTGATAAATCCAAAATTTGGCCGTCTGTTCAACGTCAGTCATTTGAAAACTATAAACAAAAAACCGCGGTGGCTAAGATAATAGAGCGTCCGTCTGCTACTAATCCCAAGGGTTCGTATCCCTACGATGACTGGCAGATGCGAATTCTGCCCCAAGCTTGCACCAACTACAGTGCTGACGTAAAATATCCTTAGTTGTTGTTGGTTCATGGGTTAAAGTCCTCTTACAGCATTGTTGGAAAGTTTTCGCGATTTTCCTCTTTGTGTAACGCAAGTGCTGGTTAGCTTCATCAAAAAATTCTCCGCGAGGATGGGTTAGTCTTGATGCTTCATTCAGTTCTCTTTTCTTCTTAGTTGGGTTCAAAAGTACCAGAATACGAAGTAAGCTCAAAATATGGTTCGATATTCAATACTTGTTATAAAAATAAAAACTATAACCAAAGCTAGTATCAGTAGATTGATGCATTTGATGTTGTTGATCGTCGGAAAGTTAAAAATATCAATTCACAATGTATGATACATTGTTTCAAAATTAAATAGTTTGTGATAAAACTGAATAATATGTGTTACAGGTGAGTCTTCACAGCAATTCAAAACAATTGTTAGCCGATCTCATGTCCATATCTTGATGAATGGATCCCTAAATTTTCAAAATGTTGAGATATTGGATTCCGGGTATTATATGTGTGAGGCAAGTAATGGTGTCGGATCTGGAATTACCGCTGTAGTATATCTATCTGTTCACAGTAAGTACTCTTAATTTCGCCCTTTTTTTCCTTTATTACTTTTTTTAAAACTTGTTATATCATCAAAATAAATCATAATTCTTAAGGAAACATTAATAAGCCTATATTCCGGTTTTAATCGATTGAAATACTTCATAAAACTTGTTTTTTTCTTCATTTTATGTCAAAATATATGTTAAAAATGTGAATATTGATGTACTAATTTTACGGGTACAACAGAATACCTCTTTTCTACTGGTTGGCGTTCGAAATTACAAGGAAACATGAGTATTCTCAAATCGATTTTGAATTGACTGATTAACGTAGCTTTAAAAGTTGAAATTGAAATGAGAAATTCTGAATGTTCACAACACAAATATATTTTTGTTTTGATTTTTGAAGTTATACTTCTTATGCGACTTCCAACAAGGTTGCGTTAAACGTTTAACGCTACATTTTTATTGACCGGGAAATCACGTGGTAGGATCCAGTTTTCCCTTATTCATTTCCAAATTGTTTTGGTTCTCACTAGCATAAAAATAATAAAAGTCATAAAAGTATATTTTTTCTATAAATATTTTTTTAGTTTGTTTTGATACACATATAATTTAATAGGGTAGTATTTTTTATTTTCAAATTTAGTGGATAACAATTGTAAAAAATGAGTGAAAACAATCCCACGGACAATGCGACGGATTTAAGGTTATGTCAAGGTACGTCTCTTGTGAATATCAATTGATTGTTAGGTTTTCTCTTCTGAAATTACATTATGACGCATTCACATACATTATTAATACAAATACATTTTCCAGGGCGAGACGATGAGGCAACCACAAGCACTTCCACTGGTTCAAGAGGTCATCGAGGGAAAAATTCACAATATTACCGTGATTACAGAGCACGGAAGCGAGCGGAGCAGGAAAAAGAGTCGTTGAATAAAAATAGCGATCCTTCTACGACTGCTGATTCTTATACAATTAACGTCGCAGGTTGCGAAGTTTAACTTCTTCCGCGCGAAGAGACTCCACGCACTATTCTTTTTCTTAATCAGGTATCAAGATGCTTAAAATTCCTGCATATTTGGATATGCGACAGTCTTACAAATTTTCTAAAATTTTCCTTCAAAGCGTAATATTAACTTATAAAAATGCTGGATATCGGCAAAATAGATTATTGCCTTAGAAATAAATGAAAAGCTTAATCAACAGATTCTGACATCTTCTTCAATCAGACGATAAATCATGAAGAAGTTCGATATTAGCTTCGTAATGAATACTATTTCGAATGTATAGTTAAACGTTACAAAGAAAGAATGTTCTGGATTTACTAACTAGCAATAAAATAGATACACCTAATGGCTGAAAATATAAAATTTCTTTACATTGCAAACTAATAATACCTATATATCATATTTTCAGTGACTGTTATATTAATACTTTATAATAGAATCTAGTATAAGTTGGATACTGTCTAAGACAACTTTATTTAATATATCTTTTACTTTTGCCAAGTTTTTATCGGTCGAATTCCTTAACATGAAGCTAGTTGAGTGTGCTGCAAACCGTTGAAACGGTTGGAAACATTTCCGCACTTGTGTAGAGTTGAAATAGTTTAATTTTTTTAAACTTTTAAACACGGATGAGAATGAATATTATCTCCTTTACTATTTTTATTACAAACAATTTAGTGTTAAATTAAATTGTTTCAAGGAGAAACTCACATTTGTAACGAAAAATATTATTATAACGACTGTATTTTTTATTGTATTTTTTGCACAGAATTGAAAATTCACATAAAATATACATTGGAATATCGACAATTTGATAGGGGCAACTTATTCTGACTGGATCCAATAAAAATGTCCCTTAAAATTAAAAAAAACACTGAATCAAATATTATTTATTGTTATTATCTTAATCTATTCTGTGATAATTTTTTCCTAAACAATAATTCGAAATGTAGTTAAGGGATTGATATTATTAATAAATTTGTAAACAATGAACTATAACGTAGTGTGGAAACTGTGAACTTGACTTTTCACTAAAAAATGCTTTGCGGCAACGGAATGATTGAAATTTACTAAAAACAATGTTTAAAATAGCAGACAATAAAAATTAATTGAAAACCTAAGCACATTTTGGACACAGTATATTAGTAGGACGCAAGGGTTGGGAAATAAAAACAGAAATAATATAATTCCACTAAGGTTACGTTACACAGGAAATATTCAGTTAAAGAATAATAATATTAAGATAAAAGTCAATAATTAAAAAAAAATAGTGACTTCAAAATAGTGGAAAAATATTGTGCAGCAATAAAATCAGTACTTATTTAATATATTTATTTCGATGGTGTGGTAACTTTACCGGAAATCCAGTTCAGTACATGGAATACATTTATGAATTGGATGAGAAACAATACGAATTCCAAGTTATTTTTTTTAAAAAACTAAGTTGCATTCTTTAAACTCAAATAACCAATTTGCTGAATAATCCCATGAAACTGAAGAGGAAAAATGTGCTTGATAACATAAAAACTTTATTTGTTTCAAATTTGAAAAAAAAGAAAAGAAAAAGAAAATGACATATATTTAAGACATATATTTAAAGTGTTTAAAAATAGATTCGTAACCTTAATACTCGCTAGCTTAAATAAGGAAAACAAAATATGATGAGATTGTGTTTTTGAACACTTAAATCATGTACATTTTCCCACCTCGAATTTTTGAAGGAAATGAAGCTTTTACATTATCAAGTTTGCTCATTGACTGCAACTGCGGCAGTTATAAAATGGTTAAATTGTCAACAGGCGCGTATTGGTCAAGATAAACGAGCTCTAAGATATCGTCAACTACATTGAAAATCAGGAGTTCCGAAATTCATTAAAAAAAAAAACATTATTAAAGCAATGGTTACATTTTGAATTTTACATCTAATACTATATATATATATATATATATATGATGATGATGATTTTAGTGCTGCACCATATTTTTCGTGTCTTCGGATATAAATTTTTTTCTGACCTTTTACTGTTAATTTAGCAGTGTTACTCTTCAGCAAATTTATTCCACTAATCTAACGTAACTTCCGATGAATTATAACGCCTTTGTTTTGCCATCATTTTACCTTACTGATGAAGGTGTTTAATAAATTTAACTATTTCTTACACTAAACTTTGTTTTTAGTTGACTTCTATTTTATCACGAAGGATAACTATGATAAAAGATAATGAATTTTTAAATTTTAAAATTTAAAGAAATTTCGAGCTCACTTTGCTAGCTCTATGTTAGAGAAGGACGCCTGCAGAGGACATTGTATTTTTTGTCAGAAAATGAATTTAATTTACAAATAAAGAAAAGGACAAAAAGGTAAATTAACAATTAAAACATTAAATCAAAATGGAAACGCACCTAAGGCAGCTAAAACCAAATTTGCTTTATTTTAACTTAGTTATTCAAAACAAAAAACAACTAAAGCAAGAAAAAGCAAGAAAAATAAAAGATATGTGTGTTGTCAATACATCACTTCATCAGGGGACACACTGCCAGCCAACACACAGGAGCCTTTCTGTTGTCAGTGGAAAAACTAAAACTGACAGTGCCCTGAGGCCCCATAATGGATAGACAAATATGAGAAAAACATTATCATTTATATTTTATTTTGATTTGGTTATTCTAACTGTAAAAATTTTTATTTATAAATGAGCGTATCATTTTTAAGTCTTATAAAGTGTACTTTTAAGTTGTGTTTGCTAGTTCATTTTTTTTTGTACTTTTCAATTCTTATAATGATTTTCTCTTATTTGTCTATCTATTATGGGGCTTCGGGGGCACTGTCAGTTTCGGTCTTTCTTCTGACAACAGAAGGGCTCCTGTGTGTTAGCAGGCAGTGCTTCCCCTGATGAAGTGATGTCTTGTTAACACACAGATCTTTTATTTTTATTGCTTTTTCCTGCTTCAATTGTTTTTTTGTTTTTTTTTTTGATTAACTAAACTGTATTTTTTGTTAACCCTCATTCTAAATAACGAAAATTCTTCCAATTTGTTCTTCATTTGATGTTTTTTTTTTAATTTTTCATTAAAAAATTGAAAATCATTCCAACAGAAGATATGGCATGGACAAACAATTCATTAAAAAGTAATAAAAAATGAATGTAATATCCCACGTATTTATTCAAAGAAAATTTGGAATTTCTTCTCCATTTAAAAATAATTCAAAAAAGTTTAAAACGCATAATAAATTTAAAGAAAATTTTAAAATTTTTGCATTTTGTTTAGTAAAGCAAAATATACGTTATTTATTTTCTCTCTTAATTGAAAATATTTCAGCGAATAATTAATTTAAACAAATCAGCGATATTTATTTGAAAATTTATAAAGACAAATTCGCTGTTTGTCTTATCCTTTTAGGTGTTCCACGTTTTCATACAAAATATGCAATGATGACGGTAAGACGAGGTGATAAGGCATTAATGGATTGTGAAGTAGTGGGTGATAAACCCATTAGTTTTTCATGGAGAAAAAATGGAGCGGCCATTGACACGGAAACAGAGATACGGTAAGTCATATTTTGTTATTTTGACCCAATATTAAGTTATATATATATACCTTTATATAAACGCATTCTATCTCGTAAAATAAGTTGCGATAAGGCTTTAAGAGCCTTACAGACTATCTGGGATTTTAGATTAATATTTCTTTCTTTTATAAGAATGCCATTTCTGAGAACAATATCTATGAAAAAGGTTGAAAGTGTGAAAACTCACTGCAGGATTCTTTAAAAATTCTAGAAAAATTTATAAAAATAATAATTATTGGGAAATGAATTTAGTTAGCACTTTTTTAGGAAAAAAGATACCTTACACAGTTAAATTTTTAAAAAAAATGACATTATTTTTTTTTTAACCGGTTGAAACTTTGTTTGAACTGGGGAAAATTGCAACAACATAAATTATGATAAAATAGATTTTTTTCTCGACAAATATATGATACTATACTATCTCCCTGATCCGCGATGATTAAGGGGATAAAGCGTTTGCCTTTCAAAGAGGTGAACCGGGTTCGAATCCCAGCGATGGCTGGGCGATACGAATTCCGCGTCCAGCTTGCACCGACCACAGTGCTGACGTGAAATATTCACAGTGGTAGACGGATCATGGGTTAGAGTCCCTTTGACATTCTTCAACATAAATCATTCTAATCATTACACAATTAATAATAACAACTCAGTTTTTCAAGCTGAACAATTTGCTATTTTAGAATGCATTAGACTCATCAAATCACAGACTTCATTTAAGGCATCTAAAAAATATACAATCTGGTCGGATTCTAAAGCAGTATTATACTCTATAATCAACCCAGGCACGAAAAATTCACTCTCGGCTAAAATACAAAAATTACTCCTTAATACAAATATATTTATCTCATGGATTAAAGCACATGATGACAGAACAGGTAATGAAAATGCAGATGCCCTAGCTAAATTGTCGACAACTAAACAACAAAATTACTCATATCCCTTCCCGATCTCACATCTTAAGAATCAACTTCAGAACTCTTTATCACAAATTCGGCAAAATTATTGGAACAATTCAGATAAGGGAAGAAGAATATATAAAATTATTAATAAAGTAGATTATTTCAAGACGATGCCATCAAAACAAGAAATTTGGTTTCTAACTGGGCATGGTCCTTTTCCATGTTATTTTAAATATCTAAACATCTCAGATAATGATCACTGCACGTGCGGGCACTCCAGAACACTATCTTACGGAATACATCTATACAGCTTCATGGCATACTCGTGCATCGAATATCAGTAATCTACCAACTTGGCAAAAACAATTCATAACTAACAATACACTTAAAACCAAATTATTATTAGTAATGAATTTTCTTTCTGATAATGATAATATTCTAAAATTTTAAATATAAAANTATATATATATATATATATATATATATATATATATATATATATATATATATATATATATATATATATATATATATATATATATATATATATATATATATATATATATATATATATATATATATATATATATATATATATATATATATATATATATATATATATATATATATATATATATATATATATATATATATATATATATATATATATATATATATATATATATATATATATATATATATATATATATATATATATATATATATATATATATATATATATATATATATATATATATATATATATATATATATATATATATATATATATATATATATATATATATATATATATATATATATATATATATATATATATATATATATATATATATATATATATATATATATATATATATATATATATATATATATATATATATATATATATATATATATATATATATATATATATATATATATATATATATATATATATATATATATATATATATATATATATGTCCTTTTTTTTCCTTTATATTAATTTACTTTTCAAAATTCATTTATTGTCACTTTCTATTTGTCATATATATATATATATATAAAAATTCTTCTTTAAACTATAATTAATATTTCTGTCTATTTGTACACAAGTTAATATTTCTGTCTATTTGTACACAAATTAATATTTCTGTCTATTTGTACACAAATTAATATTTCTGTATATTTGTAAACAAAATTTTAACCTCCTTTCTTTAGAATGTTTGAATAATTGATTGAGGTTGGCTGGAAGTAGTTGCCAGACGCGTATTATACGGGTAAAGGTTTTACTAACCTATGTACGTATCCGCGTCCGGAAGGGGGAAAAAAATCCCTTTGACATCAGGCTAGCCGTTGGAGGTTCTCGTGGTCTCCCTCTCCATAATCCTTTCACAAAAGAAATTTTCTCCCAATACTTTATCTAGAAGTTTCCTTGTCTTCTGTATCGGGTTCAAAATTACAAGTCTACGTAGTTGAACATTAGCAGTCGTAAACTTAAATATTAGGTCTGCTGTTCAACGAGGGTTATAGTATATGGAAAAAAAACTATCTTTCTGTCCTTCTATCATCGGGCTACCAGAGGTAACATAAAGACATAAAGTAACATAAAGAGCTAGTAACATAAAGAAAGTCCTTTAGATGAAAATAAGCGTTTCTTGTATAAGTTTTGAATAATAATAAAATAACGAATTTGTCACGATTATTTTTATTGTACTTGCACCTGTTGCCCCTAAATGTGCATTTTAACTAGATGACTTGACACATTTTAAAGGCACGCAATAAAAACAGGCAAGCGAATGGCCTGTAAAAATAAATAAACTTGTTTCCGTGGCAGAACACAGAAAAGTGCACTTTTTTCTCTCATTCTGTTTTTCTTGAACTCAGTTTTAAAATCTTTTTTTAACTTTTTGAACGAACTGCAAATACTGTCTTAATCACAATGATTACCCATTTGATTAATTTAATCATTAGATAAAACAAGCTTATAAGGATTAAATAATGAAGTAATAGAAGATAGTCGTCCATCATATTCTATCATAGCTTTTGGAGGGGAATTTTTTCTTGAATCTAAATTATTTTCAAACGATAAACAATTTTTAGGAATAAATTACGTAAATTAGGTTAGGCAAAAAGGAATAAATAATGAAGTAATGAATGATAATCATCTATCACGTACTGAACGTGAGCTTGATGGATATGATTTGGGAGAGAAATGTATCTGAAATCTAAATTATTTTCCTACATCATACAGTTTTGAAGAATATATTAAGTAAATTAGGTTGGGTGTTAAGGAACAAATGATGAGGTAATGGATGATAATCATCTATCACGTACTGAAACTGATCTAGATGGATATGATTTGGGGAAGAAATGCATCTTAAATCTAAATTATTTTCAGACGTTAAACAATTTTTAAGAATTGAGTAAATTAGGTCAGGAATAAATAACGAAGTTATAAATGATAGGCATCTATCACGTATTGAACCCTGGGCTTGATAGGTAAAGTTTGGAGACAAAATGTTTTTTTATTTATTTTGAGTTACTTTCATGCGTGAAATGATTTTATTTTAAATATAAAAAATTTATTAACTTTTGCTTAAATAAAATATAGTTAGAACTAGTTAATATAGAATTTATTTAGGAATTTATCTTGATAAAAATAAGCAGTAATAAGGAAAATATTTTCTCAATTGATAAGTTTCTTTTTGACGGTCTGGACCAAACACAGTTTTATTGCTCTTAGATAAAGCAAAAATAAGTGTGTTTCCTTGTTATATATTTTGAAGAAAAAATGAAATGCTGGATGGTTGCTTTCACTAATGGTCTAATCGATGGAGTATTTTTCTTTTATGACAACAAGAGTTGACAACCAAGTTCGAAAAATGATATAAAGCTATTTTTCTGCTTTGGGAAAGCTGAATTTGCTTTTGAAAACAATATTGTGCCAGTTATTTGTCTAAGACAAATTGAGAATTACTCTAGCGTATTAAAATATCACATATGATATATTTTTCAGATAAAGTTATCCTAAAATATAAGTTTCAAATCTCACGAATGAAAATAAAGGGAATGAGAGTTACTCTGGCTTATTAAAATATCGTATATTATATATTTTTTTAAATTAAGTTAATTTAAAATCTAAGTTTTAGAGAACATGAATTTAAAAAAAATATATTGAGATTTAGATTTTACTCAAGCGCATTAAGGCATCGTATATTGCATACATTTCAAGTAAAATTATCATGAAATATGTTTAAGAGCAAAAGAATTAAAAATAAATTGGTTGAAAATTACTTTAGCGTATTGAATTATCGCATATTACATATTTCCGTAATAAAGTTACGCTAAAATGTAAGTTTCAGATGACAAGAATTAAAGATAAAATAATTGGAAATCACTTTAAAGTATTAAAGTACCGCATATTATATATTTTTCAAATAGTTATCCTAAAAAATAAGTTTTGAAGCCAAAGAACTAAAAATAAAATGATTTCGAATTACTTTAGTGCATTAAAGAGTAGCGCATAATATATTTTTAAAATAAAGTTATGTTAAAATATAGGTTTTAGAGCACAAGAGTTAAAAATAAATATCTTATAAATACTGCAGATCTACATTTAAATAATTTTAAATCAATCTTTCCTGGATTTATATCATATGTAATTAGAGTATGCTGGTCAAAATAAAATGTGAAAGTTAGACGTTTGTAAAATACTAAACCTAGAATGATGTGATATCATCTCTTTAGAAACAGATTATATTTTTGTATAAATACTAATTAGTTGCATCAATTATTTAATTATTGTAAATAACCAATAAATAAACTCCCATTAATTACTTTGTAGTCTAATCAGAAAATCAGAATTGATTGAAATCGCTATGATAACCAATAATGAAATATGTTAAATATAACTGAGGTAACACAAAACGTTGCATAACTACCTTATGTGCTACACAATAGCTTATACCTTTCCAAAAGATTTCTATTTTCTGTTACTGAGATTGATTTCGAAACAAAATTATCCTTCTTTCCTAAAGTTTTACGTTTTTTTTTGTTATTTTAAACCAAAATACAAAATATTTCTAAAGATATGAAGGAAAAATATTTCGTCACCTACTCCTGTAATGATTAAATTCAACAAGCTGTTATCGGAAAAGGTTTCTATAATAAACCCTTTATTTACAATTTTAATTCTTTGATGAAAAATGAAGTTTAAAAAAATGTAAACAAGTATGCAAGTACAAAAAAGTAAAACAAGTATACATATCAGAGGACGCAAAATAATGCTAAAACGAAGATGAGGAAGACTAATGTGAAATGCTGGTTCAGAGACACTAAAACCAGTTTGGCTGCTTAATAAAATTTTGGATTTGATTTTTCTCATTGTCACATTTCGTCTCCTCTTTGTTTCACACATCACAAATTATCAAAATTACAAAAATAAGACGTTGGACGTTGTTTTTATACTTTCTCTTAAACAAGAGGCTGATTGAAATAACCTTATTTAAGGCTTATTTTTGATTTACCAAATTTATGTGTATATTTTTCACCAATTTACAATAATAGCACTTTTTAAAAAGCACCTCAACTGAAGTGTAAAGGTGCTGTAATGACATGACGCAAATTATCTATAAATTGTACTGTGGTAGGCTTATTGTTGATATATTTTGGTTTGTATATTCTACATATAAAAGTTTCGGCCATTAATCTAACACTTTCGCAAACCAAAAATAACCCTAACTGATCAGCACTTTTTAACACTTTCGATTATTTTCGATTAACACTTTTTTTTCAGATTCACAAATTTTAGGAGCTTAATTTATAAAAATAGGACCTTTTACAAAATGTCTGGATAATAGTGTTAAGTAACTATATTGCTAAATAAATTAAATTATCTATAAATTGTACAGTGGTGGACTTATTGTTGACATATTTTGGTTCGTATATTCTACATATAAAAGTTTCGGCCATTAATCTGACACTTTCGCAAACCTAAAATAACCCTGACTTCGATTAACACTTTTTTTTTCAGATTCGCAAATTTTAGGAGCTTAATTTATAAAAGTAGGACCTTTTACAAAATGTTTTGATAATAGTGCTAAGTAACTATATTGCTAAATAAATTAAATTATCTATAAATTGTACAGTGGTGGACTTATTGTTGATATATTTTGGTTCGTATATTCTACATATAAAAGTTTCGAACATTAATCTAACCCTTTAACGAACCTAAAATAACCCTGGCTGATATTACTTCGATTAACGCTTTTTTTTTAGATTCACAAATTTTAGGAGCTTAATTTGTAATTTACAAAAGTAGTACCTTTTACAAAATGTCTTGATAATAGTGCTAAGTAACTATATTCTTAAATAAATTAAATTATCAATAAATTGTTCTATAAATGCTAGTTATAATATCGGGATAATTTAGTTTGTATATTCCACATATAAAATGTTTTGTTGATAATATAAGAAAAAAATATTTCGCTTTAAACATTTTTATTAGATAAGTATTTTCATTCAGAAAAAAATAACAGCTTTATTATGAATAAGATTTTCCATCCGTTAATTGCATAAACTTTGAGTTATATTTAACATGTTTCCAAATCACGCATAATACAAATGGAATTCGAGAAGAGATAATTTTCAAATCCATAAAAAGATAAAATAATCTTCACTCAAACACATACAATAACTGTATTTAATCATTTCTGCAGAAATTCTTTGGATTTTCTTTTTTGGAAGCTCATTTAAAGCGAAAAATAATCATTGTAAAAGCTTCGCTAACGATTTATCTATTTGGATTGCAAGCTAAATAGATTTCAAAAGAATAGAATATTCATGAGTATAAATGTATATCCAGATGGTGAAAGAAGATAAAAAAAATATCTAAATTACCAGGTAGAGAGATGATTTGAATGAGATTAGTTTTTAAATATTCCTAGATATTCACAGAAAACTCATGAGAGTGTCTCTGGAGCCCGATCGGAATTAGTCATTGAAAAAGTGGAAAAGAAAGATTCAGCTTTGTTCTCTTGCACTGCAGCTAATCAATATGGAGATGATTCAAAGAATATTCAGCTCACAATTCAAGGTAATTTTTTTTATTCTTTATATGAATGACTCTTCAAAATTATGAAGATGTTTTCTCGTTAAGTATATACTTTTCTCGTTATAAAGTGGTGAATTACTCAAAGAAAGTTTGCAAATTTTCACGTCTGAACCGTTCTTTTATCTTTATGAGGTTATTGCATTCTTCTTGAAAGTGTTTACGAATATGTTATTAATTTTTCATGATTGTATTTTAAAATTATTCAATTTGGCTTGGGTTTTTTTTTGGTTTTTTTTTTGTTGAAAAAAAATAATTATTTTCACTGTATTTTGAAGTAAGTGTTTGGTTGATAAGGTTTCACAGATTTTTCAAATCTTCGAAAATATAAGGATAAATATGATTTACGTGCAATAAAATATGCTTAACAAATACAAGTAAATATGGTAAATAGAAATGGAGTTGATTCGAATATCTAGCTAATAATTCAATGTATTTTTTTGTTATCCTTAGTTAAATAATTCGTTAAAAATCATAACGATTTTTTCTCGTAANTTGTATTTTAAAATTATTCAATTTGGCTTGGTTTTTTTTTTGGTTTTTTTTTTTTTGAAAAAAAATTATTATTTTCACTGTATTTTGAAGTAAATTTTTGAAGTAAGTGTTTGGTTGATAAGGTTTCACAGATTTTTCAAACCTTCGAAAATATAAGGATAAATATGGTTTACGTGCAATAAAATATGCTTAACAAATACAAGTAAATATGGTAAATAGAAATGGAGTTGATTCGAATATCTAGCTAATAATTCAATGTATTTTTTTGTTATCCTTAGTTAAATAATTCGTTAAAAATCATAACGATTTTTTCTCGTAAAGTGTATAATTTTATCATAATAAAACAATCTATTGCACAAAAAAATACCTGAATAGTTCATTAATTTTTGAATATTATTTTCTTTGCTATTCGTAGTTGAATGATTCGTTAAAAATCATAACGATATTTTCTAGTAATGTGCATAATTTTATCACAGTAAAACAATCTATGTATTACTAAAAAAAATACCTAAATAGTTCTTTATTCTTTTTGATTATTATTTTCTTTGTTGTTCGTAGTTGAATGATTCGTCGAAAATCATAAAAACTTTTTTTCGTAATGTATATACAGTCGAACTTCTATTTAATTAACTTCCATTTTGTCAAATTTTTCTATTTTGCGTTTTTTTTTCAGGAACCAAGAACATTTTGCCAATTTCTTCGTAAAATAACTTCCAAACAACAAAATGAAATTTCTATTTAGCGAACTTTTCTCTGACATCCACTTTCCCTATTTTCCAAAATATTTCAGAACATTTCAAAAGTGTTAACGCATTTTATAGGGGAAAAGACCTTGAGTTGATTTTCGCAGCCACTTAACTTTTAGAGAAAGCAATATAATACATTACCCTTTATGTTTGCATTTCAAGCATGAATCCATGCCAAAAATCAACTTACGAGAAAGCATAACAGAAATTTCTAAGTCATTGAACTATGATGTTACAGATCGTACTATTTGTAACCGTTTTGCTAAAGCTGGATTCAGCGCGGAGAGGATGATATTCCTTTAGAAGAACTTAAGAGAATGCGGCTACAGCTAAGAAAGAACCACGAAATTAGCGATGATACACTGATTAAAGATTTTCTTTTTATTGATTCTGAATCTGCAACCATGGAAATATTAACTGAATCGGATATTTTGGGCAGTAGGAAAAATAAAAACAACACAGCAATAAATTGTGAGGAAAACGAAGACAAAAATGATGAAGAAATCACCATACCTTCATGTGATGAAATGTTAAAATAATTTGAAATAATTCGATAGTAGATAATAATTTTCAAGATAAAGGTGTATCAATTGCTATTTTAATTATGTCTAGTGTTTATGAGTTTAAAGCCTGTTTTGTGTTGTTTAAGTATTTCAAATGGTGATTTTCAATTTAACGAATATGTTAATAATGTAATATATTCGTCAATATTTTCTATTATATTGTGTTCTAATATAATATATTCGTAATGTGTTCTATTTAACCCCTTTCTTCTCGCTCCCGTGAAAATGACATGGTGAGATTTCGCCCTCTATTTCTCACTCCCGTGATATCTCCGGGCTGGAGTGTTCAGTAGTAACACGCCAATAAGAATAAAACTAATTTATTTCTTTTCCCGGGAAAACATTTTATTTCTCATTCTACGCACCAGATGGCAGTACCAGGATATTTTTAAGGTAATTGTAGATAGTTAGTTTATTTTAAACTAGATGCCAGCACTAATCAAATACGTGTATTTGTGATTAGATTAAAAAATAGGCCCTTTTATGACCGTTTTCTTGAAAATTAACCGATCGTTAAGGGGCTAACGAATAAGTTCCTTATAAGTTACCATATAAGGAACTTTTTATCGGCATTTAGCTGCTTCATTAAATAGAGGCCCGTCTGCAATTTTATCATAGTAAAACAATTACTCGAAAAAAAGCCTTCTTTCCTGTAAAATCATAAAAATGTAAATCATAAAATCATTCTGTAAAAATCATAAAATCATTCTTTAAGAATCATAACAATGTTGCTTAGTAATGTGTACAATTTTATCATGATAAAACAATCTATTACTAAAAAAAATATGTTTACAGAAAAAAAGGAATATTTCACAAAAGGTGGGACAGACTCCTGGTAACGACTTAACAGCACTGTAAGAAAACAGTAAAGAAAAATAGCTTACGTTTGTGAAAAATCTAGAAATCCGTAGAGTATTTCCTTCGAAGAATCGAACCATTTTAATTTCGTCCAATCAGTAGTTTAATCAGAAAGAGTGTCCGAGTTTGATTGTTAAGTAATAAAGAGAAATCGTTAATTCTGAGGGTCGTAGTCATCGAGAAACTTTCTCGTTACTTTCAGAAAATTCGAACGAGGGAAGAAAATCCTTTGAGCGAGATTGGAAGCTTAGTTATAAAAGTTCTATAAACTGCCATAAACTGTAAACAATTTTACTTTTGTCTATTTCTTTAAGTTTTAAGTCCAGGTTTCTTAGAAAATATTCTAAAATGTATAGATGTATGTTTTGTTCTTAGAACGAAAAGTCAACAGATGATTGTGTTACCTATTTTCTTACCTTTTTTTCTTGTGTTACCTATTTAATGAACAAAACTGGTTAAAAATGTAATGTGTAGTAATACATTTAGAAATGTAGGATGATTCGTAATGACCACCTTCAGTACATAGGTTTAAAAACCTTATTAATAACAAATGCGTGATGTTCCGTAATAACCACCTATAAGTCATATTTTTAGAATCCTTAGCAATTATAAATGCAGAATGTTCTGCTGTAACCGCTTTCAATCCTCAAGTTTTGAATCCTTATCAACCACAAATGCAGGATGTTCCGTAATGACAGACTGAAAACCATATTTTTAGGACCCTTATCAATTATAAATGCAGGATGTTTTTTAAGACCAACTTTAATCCATACCTTTAAAATTCTTATAAATCATAATGCAGGATGTTCCGTAATGCCCGCTTTTAAACCATATTTTTAGAATCTTTATCAATTATAAATACAGGATGTTCAATATTGACTGATGTCCGTATGTTTAGAATCATTACCAATTATAAATGAAGGATGTTTAATGATTACCTTCAAGCTAAATTTTCAGAATTCTGATCAATTATAAATCCAGGATGTTCCGTAATGACAACCTTAAAACGACATTTTTAAACTCTTTATCAATTTTAAATGCAGGATGTTTCTTCACTACTGCATTTCTTCCATATGTTTAGAATCCTTATCAATAATAAATATAGAATGTTTCGTACTTCCGACTTTCGTGTCTACCTTCAATCTATATTTTTAGAATCCTGGTCAAAAATGAAGTTTAAACAATATAGGGTCAGGTATTAAGCTGAGAAAGTTTCATCAAAACCAGATGAATCTTTACTGAAGAAGCGGATGAGAAAACATAAATTGTTTGATTAAAGGTAGAGACAGACAGTGATATTTAGAAACAATTTTTAAGATTCATGAGGGAATCAAACTTGTTTTGGTGTTTTCAGCCCGCTTTCATCAGTAATGATTCTATAGAAATAAATGGTATTTTTTCTTCAAATTTAAATATTAAATCACTACTCTCAATGTATTTATTTTTTGCTATATATTTTACAAGGATTTTAAAAATATGGATAGAAAGTAGTTATTATGGAACACTGTGCCCTTAGGCACTGTAGATGCGATTGAAAAACCAACGCAAGTGCGTCAGGAAGCGTTGCACTAACGTTGTTTTATCCAATTCACAGAAATTAAATATTATTAATTTAAGATTTTTAAGACCTGTTTGACTTACAGAAGTCCTTCAGAAAACTAATTAAAAAATGTCAAATTATTTTACAGCTGTTTGAAAATAAATTTTCCTTTTTCCTTAAAAAAATATTGAGTTTCAGAATTTGAATATGTTTTGCAAAAGATTTCTCAAATGATTTTCTATTTTTCTGTAATAATTAGAAAATTAATTCCTCCGTGAAAATTAATTTCCATTTCTATTAGCGAATAGAAAACAATTTAGCTGTTGCTTTTTTATATTCTAAAAAAATCCATCCATACATATTTCATAAAAAATACACTAATTAAACTTTGAAAAAAATATTTTAGCGTTTTTTTCACTAAAATGGAAAACTATCTAGAGAAGACATTTAAAAAAATTATCCATATGTATAGTAGAGAAAGAGGAATAAAAGAATATGAATTACAAGGAATTAAAAAAAATAGAAAAATTATCTTTAAAATACAAATTAGTAGAAGTTGAAAGATCGTGTGGGGAATTTTGCTATTAAGTTTTAATTAGTTTTTAAAGTTAAAAATATAATTCAATACCATTCAGTGATTCTCTTCATCTTTAAAAGAACAATTAACATTTATAAATGATGAAATTTATTCAAATAGATCTCGTTACCGAACCTGATACCTTTGGGACGTTTTTTTTATTTTTATTTTAAGGGATAGTAAATGATGGGATTGTTTGCTATTTATATTTTACTTTCTCTACTAAAAAATCAATAGAGATACTTTATTCACACCCCACTAAAGCTGCACAATAGTCTCTCAGCGACGGTCTGGGAAATATCCCTGAAAATGGACCAAAGACATGCCATCTCAATTTCAATACTCTGCAGTGGAGATGGTTTCTCTCTCTGGTTGCCTGAAAGCAGAGTCTAGCACTTACCAATGAAACAGTTTAATGAAGAATGATATCGCACGCCCTTAATCCCTTCGCAGGGTGATCAAAGTTGTATTCCACAAATTCAATAACCGATATGATCTTCGACTTTGGAGATCTACTGGGAATCATGTCGTGCAATCACTGTGAGACTAAAAAAAAAATTCAAATGTTCAATGTTTTAGAAAAGCACTTACAATTCTTTTTTTAACGCTTTTTTCCGAATTCTAGGAAGAAAGGAGAACTATTTGCAATTTGTTTTCAATTTTTCATGTTTGTGCCATTATTTAAGAAATTTTTAGCAATTTTTGTTCGACTGATGTGAAGGCAATAATCAATCTTCATGTCTTATAAATCTGGAGTTAGTTTCAATTATAGCAATGAATCGACTTTTTCGGTGGATAACGTTGGTAACTATTTAAGTAACTCTGCTGTGGAAAACCTTACATTCTTTCGCTTAACTCAAACGCAAGAACTTAATCCGTGGTTAAAAGAGGATATTTATTGAGGTATCGAGGCATAATTATTTAGCTGACGCTGAATAAATTATTCAAAAAGAACCTTAAAAATGTAATGTTTTTATGTTTTTTCTTGCTTATGCTTTTTTGAATGTCAACGGATTCTCAGATGGGATATTGGCAACAACAACAAAATGTAAATTTGCTATAATTTTGGGTTTTAATATCTTTTACTTAGATATTCCTGATGCACCCAAGAGTACTGAAGTTCATGATGTTTCGAGTAGAAGTGTTAGACTTTCTTGGAGTAAACCATTTGACGGGAATTCTCCCATAATTCAATACACAGTCATGTGGAGACAGCTAGGAGGTACGTTTAATTTTTATTTTTTTAATTTTCCTTCCTGAAAGAACGCTATACAGTGACAGAGACCCTTCAATTTTCTTTCAACTCGATTAATAATTTAAATTTTTTAGTGTGGAAAATATGAATTCAGATAAACTAAGAGTAGTGCTGTGAAATTTCGAATGTTGAAAATATTTTTGTATTTTAAAAAACTATCAAACTGTAAATAAATTATGACATGATTACTTCCTCTCTGAGTGGCAGAACATTATTCATTATGATTTAGCCTTGCATTATGACCGGATCATACTCATTTTTTAAATTTGATATTCAATTTAGTAGTTGAAACTTCATAACCAGCTTAACTTCATAACAAGTTTCATATAATATCACGATTTATTTATTTTCTGTAATTATGCCATATGGTTTATTTTCATATTAAAAGGCTTTTCAAAAGAAAATTATTTTTTTTTAGTATTTGTTTTCTTATCATTATTTTTAATATTGTCTAATTTTGATTTTTTTTAAAGAAAAGAAAATTATAGCTGCGTATTTTGCTCGCAATCTAAAAATTTAAAAAAGGGAATCGAAGCATTTGAAGCTACGCAGTTTACTTTAGGTTTTACTCCTTTGCTTTACTTCATATTTTGAATTAATATTGTAATTGTACAAAAGGCCATTAAAGATTATTCCCGTTAGTGGTTATTATGCAGATTATTTATTGATCATGATAAAATCACTGCATTTACTAAATCTTATTACATATTTTAAAACCATATTTTATTGTCAATTTCACCCAAGACATTTCCAAAGCGCTTAAATAAAAATTACTGAGTTTTTTGATTTTCCCATAGAGCCAGAAACAAGGCACATTTTACCATATTCTGGTAGTTTTGACCGTACTTGCTTTTTCCCCTAGGTGTGTGATTTCGCTTTTTTAAAAACACGGTACACTTTAGAGCATTGATTTCAGAGCTTTTGTCACATATCCAATATCCATTCTACAATATTTTTTTTATTTAGAAATAGTGTTTCCTTTTGACATTACTGATTCTTTCGAAAATAAAATACGTGGCTGAAAGGGATAAATATTTATCCGAGTTCTAATTTTATTCATTACAGGACGTATAATCTGAGACGCTAAGATATAAAATAAAAACCAACTTCCTTAAGAATAATGATTGTCGATTCAGGAATCGTATTAATTTTTTAGGTTATTTAATACTCTTCGCTTGTTCAGACTCGTCGATAAGTCAATACCCTGTAAAACTTCCGAGTTATTTTAAAATTAAATTTTTCTCATCTGTTGTATTCTATTGACCCATCATTATGAGCGAACCCTGTCATCAGACATGTTATTGCTAATTACTATGGAAACAGGTCATTCCATTTTATGACAGGTGTAAAGAAAAGCACATACCATACCATTTACAATTTATCATATTAGTGCTCTTATTTAATTTTTTGTGGTAAGGCTGCTAGTGTGCAGGCTGAAACATTACCCCTGCTAAACTAGATCAATCTGAATGTACATCTCAACTCGAAATTCCTATTTCTCGCCAATAGAGGGCGTAAGCTCCTGTGTAAGAGTTTACATTAGTTAAGCGGTATTATTACTTTCAATATGAACATTTATTTATATATCTACATATATATATATATATATATAATCATGTATAAAGTTTTTATACTTCATTTGTTATTGAGGTAAAAAAAAATATCTTCTACGTGATGAAGCAAAGTAAGAATCTTATGACTTAGTTGAGATTATTTTCTTTTTTTTGTATATGTCATGTGTGTCTTAGAGATACAGTTTATTAGCAAAATAATTCTTTACTTGAAATCATTTAACCAATAGGCTCCTAATAGGGTAATGTATGGAAGACTGGCTTTCAAGGACAAATCAATCGCATTATTTTTGTACGTAAAATATTTTCAACTTAATGTAAAAAGCNTTATATATATATATATAGATAGATAGATAGATAGATAGATATAAATACGGTTGTTACCTGTAAAGAGAAATCTTTAAAATGGTGAACTACTACTCTTGAAGAAGAAAAAGATAGTGAAAACGGTGGAAAATGCATCTCCTACCACGAATTACCATTAGATATAGCCATCATTCATCTTTTATTTATTTTTATTTTAATCTTTTATTTTAACATCTTTTATCTATTTTTATTTTAACATCTTTTATTTATTTTTATTTTAACCTCTTTTATTTATTTTTTATTTTAACATTGATTTTGGAAATTGCCATTTTTATAATGAATCCTATTTAATGTTTAATAGCTTAAAAATCAGCATTTTTATTTTTACAAGTTTCTTTATATTTTTGAAAACATGATACTAGAACCCAATCAACAACTGTTTACGTAGAAGATACTTGTAAACCTTTCAGAAGCAATCATGCTCCCAAATGCAATTCATTTCGAGATTTTGCAACAGCCTGCCCTTTAGCAGTTAAGTTACGGATCTAGTTCAGCCTTGTCTGCGATCTTGTTTCCTTACGTCGGCCAATTTACTCCACGTGGAATAATTTACTTCCCATTACTCTTATCATAAAATGGAATGACTTGTTCCCATAGCTACAAGCATTATCGCGTCTGATTGAGGGGGATTTTTTCTCCTGATGGTGAGTCAATACTCGTGGAATTTCTCTTGTTTAAAAATTTTGCTTTCAGCTTTGTAAAAATTTTCTGCAATGTAGGTGAAAATACTGGGGGTCCAGTTACAGTACCTGGACACGAGACGTCTTTAGTAATTCGAGGACTGAAACCGAAGAATCGCTACTTTTTTCGCGTCAAATGTGAGAATTCATTGGGGGAGAGTCAGTTTGGAGCAGAAGTGGCTGTGACGACACTGGAAGAACGTAGGTATAAAGATTTTCATGCGATATCAATTAGTCCCAATGAAATATAGTTCAAAGTGCTTATAAACTAGACCTAGAATATATTTTTATAGTCATTATAGTTTATCCAGAGCTAAACTTTTTCTCAAGTAGTAAGAGAATGTTTTAGCATTACGTAAGCAAACTTTTTGGAATATAGTACTTCTTCGTTATGCAAAAGAACAATCATATTACCTCCTCCCTATGTATTCTTGTATAAGATTTTTTAATGTAACTTTTTCCCTTAAGTTTATGCTTTTTATAAATAAAATTTTCGTAGCAATGTTACATTATTATCCTCACACCCATCACCTTCCACCAACCATAGTTTCAGCAAATTTTACTTTTTCCTCACGGCAGTATAATTTAACTGCTTTCGGAGATGGACGGGCATGTGTAAAAAGCAAGATTTGTTGAAACCCAAAGAGAAAAGGGGAAATGGCGAAGACGCTTACTGATTTATTTAAAAAAAAGTTTAATTATTAATGGAGCGTTAAAGTGAATTATTTTTATTCAAAAAAAAGATTTTTTTGTCACACACTATTCATTCCATGTACACAACCTTCGTACTATATAAAATCTGTATATATCATCCGTGTACATAAATAAGTGCATATCATCCATGATGGTTTATTTTGGACAAAGCGCAAAATACGCGTTTAAGAAAAAATACGTGACTGGTAATTCGTGTCTTTTTTTTAAGAAAAGGGCACATCTCAAAATGCGTATTTAAGGAACATAGTTTACTGCACGTGTTTGCGTAAAGGGACATATTAATATCTAACCACAAATTATATATAAATGAATTAAATTTAAAACCACATCTATATTTAAAAAAAACAGATGAACCACAGATTAGCCACATTCCTAGAATAAAATCATCAGACCCAACACGAATAGCGCTGACATGAACCCGGATGATAAGAGGAAGAGAGGGTGACCAAAACTAATCTGGAGTCAAATGATCCTAACAGAAAGAAAGACGTTCTAATAGCGGAGTTGGGTCAGTGCTAGAGACGCAGCACAGGACCGGATTGGTTGGCTTGCTTGCGGTGTCAGGAGAGTTAAGTAGAGCTAATTAAAATGTGCATTGAAACAAATCGGACCAAGCACAAAAATCGTCTCTTCAATGCTTATTAATAAGCTCATTATTTAACATTCAATCAAATTTTTAAGACAAAGTGGGTAAGAAATTAATACGAAAATTCTCTATTTTTTACGCTACATATATACATAATTTTACTTTATATTATAACCAGCGTTGAACAGTCAACCCATATTTATGTTTACGACTATCAGTTATCAAGTCTATAACTTTGTAATTTTAAACCAAACCCAGAATACTAGTGAACACCTGAAATCCCGAAATTAAGCGTTATATTCAATTTTATATTTTCGTTGAACAACCACCCCCATTCAATGAAATTAATCATTATGACAAATTTATCATCGTGGAAGACTTTTTAATGAAACAAGGTCGCAATTATGTAGTGTGTAGAGGAAAATTTTCAATGGTTATCCCGACGGCAAGGGATTTCTAAACCATGAACCATCTAAGCGTGGGATATTTCGCACTAGCACTGTGATAAGTGTGAGCCGGGAGACGTATTCGTATTGACCATTTTAGGGATTCGAACTTGAGACACCTCATTGGAAAGCGAACTCTCTTTTACCAAAACCACTGCTTTCTTTTGTATAGTTACGTTAAAATTGTTAATTATTTAAAAATATAGATTTATTATAGCCGAACTTACAAAATGGAATCAAATGAAACGTTCATGTTCGTAAACGCTACTTTTGAGCTACATTCGTTTTTCAAATGCACTTAGCATTCTATGCCCACATCCTAAAACGCTCATTCTATTCTACATTTATTGTTATCTATTTTGATTTTTTCTTTCGAATATTTGATCGCTCTAAGCTGACAAAGCTTGAACTTTATCACATTTGAGGATGATATGTCATTTTGTCATGATGTGGCATTTTTTAGACTGTTCAATTTCAAGCATATCACTATGCTTCTATAATGAGCACATAGGTTTTTACATTCTACTTTATTTGTTTCGGAGTTATTTTGACTCATTTTTGCTCAATTTATAGAAACCCTTTCTTACAATATATGCAAGAATGCAAAAGAACTAAAAATAATATCCTGGTTTAATGCCCCAAACAGCCTTATTATTGAAAAAGGATGATTTTGCTTCTATGTATGAATAAGCCTTGCACCTTTTATTTTATGAGCACCTTAATTAAATTTTTGAAATAAAAAAAGATTATGATGCACCTTTAAAAAAAGAATTTTTTTATTCTTCTTCCAGCTCCCAAGAGAGCTCCATATGGTGTGAAAGTCTCCGCAGTTTCATCGAGGTCTATCAATGTTACGTGGCAAGTAAGTCTGGATCTCCTTCTGATTTAAAAAATAAAATGAATTATTTTTTTTATTTTATGTAGCTCGTTGTGGGTTAAGGGGTCATAGAGGCTAAGGTTTCACAATTTCATGACCAACGGCATGATTGAGGCAATGTGGTCAGCACTGCGCACAGACCGCCTTTACTTCCCAGGCAGGGAAGTAGTTTTTTTATAACAGTCTTTGAACGGTGGACCCAATTTTTGGGTTTATGACTACTGATATTCAACTACGTAGTTGCGATTTTGAACTCAATCCAGAAGACAAGGGAACTCCTGGATTGAAAGAAATTTGCCTTCGTAGGTGACTTTTTGATGGAACTAGCCCGCATTTGCGTTACATGGTGCGAAAGACCGCAAGAACCTCCCACGTCTAGCCTGACGGCAAGGGGACTATCACCTATAGTCCCTCTACCAATGAGGATATTTCAAGTCAGCAATGTGGTCGGTGAAAGCTGGATGCGTATTTCGTATCGACCAGCCATCGCTGGGATTCAAACTCGGTTCACCTTATTAGAAGGCGGAAGCTCTATCTCCTGAACCATCGCTGCTCAGGGTTGTACGCATTGAACTGAAGCTGGGTGAGCTCCCAGCCGCCATTGGGGATTGAACCCTTGTTCTTTCCACTATGACAGTTCAGTGCCTTAACCTCTGAGCCATTGCTGCCCACATTTTTATCATACTTAACTAATATTTTTCTTGGATTTGTTGTTGTTGTTGTTAATTTACGTCGCACTAGAGCTGCACAATGGGCCATTGGTGACGGTCTGGGAAACATCCCTGAGGATGATCCGAAGACATGACATCACAATTTTGATCCTCTGCAGAGGGGATGGTACCCCTGCTTCGGTAGCCCAACGACCTGCAGGCGAAGTCGAGCACTTTACGGTAGAACAGTTTAACGAGGACCAATACCGCACACCCTCGGTCCCTACGCAGACTGATCCAAGTGGTCACCCACCCGCACACTGACCGCAGCCAGTGATGCTTGACTTCGGTGATCTGAACCGTGGGAACCGTGTCTTAACGATCAGTCCACTGCGGGACTATTTTTCTTGGCAGTTCTGTATATAATAAAATGCAAACAATACTAATATTTTTTGTTGTCTAACTAAGGTCTCTCCTTCTAATTTTTATCAATAAAGATATAAATTATACAACAAAATTAATTATTTGTGTTAGCTATTATTTATTTACTGTTTTCTGCAGAGAATTATGCTTAATGAAAACAAGTTAATATAAAAAAGAAAAAAATGATCTGGTTGCTTATCTTTTAAAAATAATGAGCAATTTTAATTGAAATTTTACTTTTGTATTTTTTCTCTAGGTATCAAGAGATGATGACATTGAAAGCGTCGATGGATTTTATATAGGATACAAACCCTATATCAAGTCTGAACCTTACAATTTTAAAGCAATTAACGCATCTTTCTTAGTTTATCTCAACTTTATTCTCACCGGATTGTCACCCTTAACTGACTACAGTGTCATTGTCCAATCCTACAATAGCAGGGGTGCTGGACCCCCATCCGAACCAGTTATTGCAAGAACTCTAGAATTCGGTAAGCATGACTTTGTTTTCCATATCTTTTAATTTCTACGTTACCTCAAAAATCTTTAATTTTTTTTGTAATGTACTTAAATGCACAAAAAATGTCTTTTTCACTCCAAAAAAATGCTAAATAAATTTTGGTTGGCAAAAGAATAAGTTAATTATAAAATTAACAATTTTTAATCTTAATTACCTATTCTCTATTTAAGTAGAGACATCCAAACGCTAATTTTTCTAGAAGGGAGCCGTGCTGGCTCAAGTGATAGAGCATTCGCTTTCCTATAAGATGCCAAAGTTCGAATCCCAAAGGCGGCTAGTTGAAACGAATTCTTCTCCCGGCTCACCCCGACCACTGTGTTGACGTAAAATATCCTCAGTGTGGGATCATGGGTTAGAATCCTTTTGTCATCGGGTGAATCTAAGAGTATTTTTGTAGTTTTCTTCCCCATGGAACGCAAATGCAGGTCAGTTAAAATCTTCCTCGAAGGCAAGTTTATTCCAATTCAAGAGTTCTCTTCCTTTCTGGATTGGGTTCAAAATTACAAGGCTTTTGAATCTGGATAGTAGTAAACTCATAATCAGTTCGTCTGTTTACAACGCCGATTATAAAATAAAACAATAAATAAATGAAATAAAATAAAATTATTTCAGAGGAGAAGCGATGCATTTGAGGAGAAAGCGTTTACTTCTCAATAAAGTTGTCCATGTACGGATCCCATTGATGACTGGTCGATTCGAGTTTCGATTTCAACACGAGAAGATCATAATGCTAACATAATATAGCTTCATTGGAAGAATATTCATGGATTTGAATTCTCATGTCGTCGAGCAAACCGTTGGAATTTTGATTGGTTTTTATTATCCATGCAATCAAACGCGGATAGTCCTAAGTTAGTCATCCATGAAGACCAGTTCACCCTAATATTTGATCTAAGAGTTCTCTTGTCTTATGGGTTAGGTTCAAAATTGCAAAGTTATTGAGTTGGGCATTGACCGACGTAAAGCTGCCTAGCCGTAACTCTTCTTTTTTAAACTGTATCTGTTTTCATGGGCTTTGGACAAATTCTGGTACTTTTCATAATCACAATATGTTTGTTACCTTTTTTCAATGTTTTTTTATTTATTTTTTTAATTGACGCCTCGCCTATTATGCTTGAACACTCAAACTCCTAAATTCCATTTTCTGAGTAACTACTAATGCTAATTCCAAGATTTCACTAAATTCTTTGAGGCCTTCTGGTGTTGCCATGGATCGCCACCAAGCTTACCTTTTTGAATCCTCTTTTTCCTTTGCTGAGAGGTCACGTACGCGTACTTAGAGCCTACAGTATTCGCCGGATGCCCCCTGATGGGGGCGGGGCGGGCTTAAGCTTTGATTGACGGACGTAAACCGGAAAACGGGATCAGCTCTTCAACACTGGATAGAAAATTATTTTTCTGCTTTTACATAACTTACTCCTAAAAACTCTTCCTGGTCAGAATTAGAATTTTCTCAGAACCCTATCAATAAAAATAGTGTAAAAACCCAACAATATTTTACATTTATAAGGACTAGTCTCGTCGTTTTAAGCTATTGATGAATGAATGAATGAGAAATTAACACTTTATTTGCTTTCAATGTGATTTAACTCATAATGCATTTACTTTTTAGACAAACCAGAATCTCCTGCTATAAAAACGTATTATTCAACAACTAAGTCCATTAAAATATCTTGGGATTCTAGAAGTACACCAACATCCCCAGTTGCTGGTAAATGAGTTTTAAACTTTTATCACCTAAATAAATTATAAACATACTTTCCAACTAATCCACAAGTTTATTTTAGTTCTATGAAAATTAGTTACAATAAACGCACGTGCACAATTACCGTGTTTGAAATAGACTGTAACTTATGCATGCAGGTTATAATAAAGTTGAAAGATGTAAAATGAAGGAAATAAATTTCTTTTGTAATGAAAAGATTCTAGTACAAAAGCACCAGCACTTGTTTTTATCTAAAGGAACAAACAACTTTATAAGGATTCACCCCACCGGGAATGCATGATCTTATCGCCTTTATTAAGGCTCAGAATACGAGAAATTTAAGTTTGCTTAAAAAACTATTTACCATATATTTTATCGTGAAAACGGACCCTCCTCAATATTTTTAATTATCAAAATTTTTATTCTCCTTACAAATGTTTTTTTTTAGAAAAGAGTCAATGAATTATTCTTAAATTTATAATTTTAAGACAACACTTCCTTAAAAAATATAGTTACCTTACAGTTTAAAAGTTTTCAACCAATATTAAATAAAATAATAAAAAATATAATTAAATATAATATAATAATAAATAATTATAAATANTGCTAACATAATATATCTTCATTGGAAGAATTTTCGTGGATTTGAATTCTCATATCATCGAGCAAACCGTTGGAATTTTGATTGGTTCTTATTATCCATGCAATCAAAGGCGGATGGTCCCAAGTTAGTCATCCACGAAGGCCAGTTTGCCCTAACATTTGATCTAAGAAATCTCTTGTCTTATGGGTTCGGTTTAAAAACTGCAAAGTTATTGAGTTGGGCATTGACCGACGTAAACCAAAAAACGGGGTCCGCTCTTCAACACTGGATAGAAAATTATTTTTCTGCTTTTACATAACTTACTCCTAAAAACTCTTCCTGGTCAGAATTAGGAATCAAACGGATTTTCTCAGAACCGAGTGTAAAAACCCATCAATATTTTACATTTATAAGGACTGGTCTCGTCTTTTTAAGCTATTGATAAATGAATGAATGAGAGAATAGCACTTTATTTGCCTCCTATACGCTTCCTATAACTTATAATTCTTTTACTTTTTAGACAAACCGGAATCTCCTGCTATAAAAACGTACTATTCAACGACTAAGTCCATTAAAATATCTTGGGATTCTAGAAGTACACCAACTTCTCCAGTTGCTGGTAAGCAAATTACTATGCGTTTTAAACTTGTATCATTTAAAGAAATCATAAACATACTTTCAAACTAATCCACAAGTTTATTTTAGTTCTATGAAAATTAGTCACAATAAACACACGTGCACAATTACCGGGTTTGAAATGGACTGTAACTTATGCATGCTGGTTATAATAAAGTTGAAGGATGTAAAATGAAGGAAATAAATTTCCTTTGTAATGGAAAGATCCAAAAGCACCAGCACTTCTTGATTTTATCTAAAAAAACAAACAATTTTTTTAGGATTCACCGCACCGGGAGTGCACGATCTTATCACCTTTATTAAAGTTTAGCGTACGAGTCCATTTAAAAGATTATTTACCATATATTTTATCGTAAAAACGGACCTTCCTCAATATTTTTAATTATCAATTTTTTTCTTCTCCTTACAAAAGTTTTTTTTAGCAGAGAGTCGATGAATTGTTTTTAAACTTATAATTTTAAAACTGCAATTCCTTAACAAATTTAGTTACCTTACAGTTTAAAAGTTTTCGACCAATATTAAATAAAATAATAAAAAATATAATTAAATATAATAACGAATATTAAGAAAATGTTATAGCTATTAAAATTTTTTTTGCATGAAATTATCGCTGGATAGACGACTTTTATAATTGTAAGCAAATTTAAAAGGGTTTTTCGAGATATGGCAAAATGCGCAAGAAAGTAAAGTTAACATTTAGGGGTTCGAAATTTCAACTACTCTCCTGATCTAACTATTAAGATCACATTTTCCAGATTACGGCTAGACTATATATTCTAGGAGTCAAAAATCTTAATCTGTTGAAAAAAAAGGTGTATTTAATCAGAGAAAGTACGTTTTTGTGTATTTTTTCATAACTTAAATTACTGTATGCAGTAATTAATTAGCATGTTTCAGGTTACCCTCTTAAACTACTATGATTGCGCCTTAGTATGTGAAAATCTGATCATCGGATCAAAAGTTATTCAAGGTGTTTCAGTTATTTCTTTGCGCAATGTACTATCACATTTATCATGAATGTCTTTTTCATATGCAGATCACTGCTGGGCATTGACTGGATTCCGAAGATCTTTTGCCAAGTAAAATAAAAAAACACAATTTAAGTAATGAATTAAGCTGTAATTTTAAGCTCCATATGTCATCTTTCTGTAAAGAATTATCTGGGTTTTAGAACGGACAAATAACTAAAATATTTCAAAAATTGCTAAGCTTTTTTAAAAAATCGCAAACATATTTCTACTTAGATTAAAATTTCAAATATCTATACCCTATTCTCATTTTTGCAAACTTTTATGAGCCCAAATAAGGCAGCATTGTAGTAAGTTTTTAAATGCTGAAAAATTAGACAACAAATACTTTTCCTTCTCTCAAAACTGTAGCTTTTGCACCATTTTCGGAATAAACCTAGAGGGTGCTGCTGAAGTTAGGTTAGACTTGACCTAAGAGCCACGAGTAATTGCAGCAGACTAACATCAGTTATGGAAATAGAAAATTATTGGCATAAAAGCAAAGTTTCAAGTGACAAGAGAGTCCTCAAAAAACAGCCTTAACCCTTACACAAAATAAAGTGTTTTTGAGATTGTTTTGGGGCTGACAGATGCAAAAAATTACACCTGAGAGTAGAAAATTAGGTTATGTTTTCACCAAAAATAACCTCATTAATGAACCTCAATTACATATATAACTGAGAAATAATTTTAGTTTAGATCGGGGAAAATTATACACACCTTAAATATAAGTATTTGCGTAAAGTGTAGAAAAAATAATCCGCACACCTCATAAACAACTTCCTAAGCTGGTTGCTCTAAAATAGATTTCAGTCAACCTCAAGTGTAAGTGAAACAACTTCATACATCTAGATTATATACTTTGGAAGGTTGATCTTTTAAGGTTGTTTTTGAAATCAACTTCGAATAAACCTCAAATCAACCTTGGCACCTCAGAGCAACCTCAAATGAACCTCAAAAATACCTTAAGTTTTTGTAAGGGAATGGACTAATCTATTTAGTTTTGAAAGTACTCATTAGACTTTGTATAACGTTACAGAAGAGTATCATTAGGTAACTTTCCACTAATATATAATATATGAAAAGTGTTATATGAAATTAAAATTCTATTACTCACTCGATAAACTTCATTGATCAAAGTAAATTTAAAAGTATTCAGCTGCAAGAAAGCAAAATTTTTATTATCAGATCATCTTACAAATTATTTTTTACTTGGTAGGTTACATATTGTGTCACAAAAAGGAAGGAAACGACTGGCATGAGATCCGCTTGCCTGGTGACAGAAACTCGTACACACTCCACGACTTACAGTGTGGCACATCATATTCTTTTTATTTGATTGCCTTCAACAGCGCGGGGAGAAGCAACGACAGTGAGATACTGTCAGCAAAAACTGATGGAGTGGGTAAGCCTTCAATTGGATTACTTTCGGTGGGGAGAAATTTATTTAGAGTGATGCTTCTAACATAGCAATGTCATGCCTTATTTCCGATGTCATGCCTTTTTATGCCTTATTTTCAGCCGTATCGGTCGATCCGAAGTATACGTCGACCCCCGCTGCCATTATTAATTTCAAAATGGCGCATTTTTGAAAAAGAACTCTGAATTCACATTAGTTAAAAAAAATTCTTAATAAATATAAAATTCTGTATTCCAAGGATATAAATTAAATGTTAACGTAATTTTTAAGAATATTTTGAACAAGTATCTCTGACTTTGAACTAATAAGGAAATTTTAGTTACACTTTTCAATACCATGTAATTTAGACATGGTTTAGTAATTTAGACATTTAAAATTAAATTACATACAAAAAATAAAAATTCTATTTTTTCTCTTCACCTAAAAAATTGGTTTGACTGTCGATTTTCTCTTTCAGATTAATTCTTGATGCTTCGCCTGTTTGAAGTATTAACTAACTTAACTTTCTAAAAACTTTGTTAGTTTGTCAAATTTTAAATTCCTCTTATATATTTCTTTTTTTATGCTAAGCGTTACATTAATAAAAAAGAATTTCTTCTCAAATGTGTGATCGACCCACAATATTTTATAGCAGTTTGGGTGTTTAAAAATCAACTTTTGCATTACATATTATCTGTCTGAATATTGATCAAAAGTTTACATGGTCGATATTTAGAGCGAAACAACTATGTTTTTAAAGCAAGTATAACATTTGAAGCTATATATATATGAGCATTAGAAGGTATGAAACATTTATTATCAATTAAAATTGTTTAACATGGTGCGGCATAACGCGCTGTAACTCTTACAGCACTGGCAAGTTAAATTGACGTAAGCACAGGTGTCAAAATTCTACGTTTCCCAACTAATATCATAGAATTTGACAAAAATATAGCTGGTATTGGAAGATTAGCTGATAATACAGGAAAATGTTTCTACTGGAACAACTTTTCATAGTGAAGCATATGGTGGGACGCATTTCATGACTAGGTTGCTGCTAACAGTTTTGTTTAGGTAAACTGCACTTAATTTTAAATATTCCTTTATCATTCTTTTTAAAAGCTAATATTTTAAGTATGGATTTTCTTAAATGTTCTAATCCATTTTTTAAAAAATTTCTTTAGGAAATAGTCTAAAAAGCAAATAATAAAAGCTGCATGGTACCAAGTATCCTCGCCAAGTATCCAAGTCACCTCGCAATAAACTAATTGGATGCTATATAAATGAGTATCAATATTAAAATAGCAGTTAAAGTGAGTTCTGCGCTGCTACCTATTGCCCTACTACCCATTGCTTATTTTTTCCAACCTTGCTTTGAACTATTGTAAAGTTAGGAAAAAAAATATAGCATAAAAGTTTAAAATAGTTTTTATTTAGCAAAAAAATACCTTAAAAGAAATAAAAAGAACAACAATTTATAAGCAAGTTAATTTTAAAAAAGAAAAAAAAGAAAGAAAATTATTTTTTCACATTGAAATGTTTTACTCAATTCCCTCTCTAAGCTGTGAGCCTAAAATTTGTAATAATTCCTCAATCTCCACCCACGATTCTTTTAGCGATAATTTTAATTTTATAAAAATTTAATTTCAAATTAAGAGCTTTTTTGTTTATCATTTTTACAAACAAATTGCTTTGCTAGAAATTTCTTATAATTAGCAGTATTTTCAGCTACGTTCTAGTCTGATTTCTTCCAAAAATTCTACCCGTTGAGGTTGCAAAAATTGCAATTTTTTCAACTATTAAATTTGCAATTCAAAAAATAAACAAATTTATTTGCTATAAAATATTTTTTAACCCAACTTTGAGTTTAATAATCGAATCAACACTTTATTAAATATTTGACTGAGACGAATAAATCTGATAGACATGTCATGCAAATTTTATTTATATCTAATCATGATTTAAGTAATATGCCAAAAATTATAATTTATGTGTCAGTGGTAGCCGATTTTATTCCATTAAAAAATCTTATTATATGAAACAAATTAAAATTGTTACTGTTTGAAACAGTTCCGCATACAACTATTAACAGCACAGCTCGAAAAAAAAATAAGAGAAAACGTTGCTTTTACTGCGTTAAAAAAGGAGAGTTACACGATAAATCCGAACACTTAATTCTGCGTAACAATAGCTATTTTTCTTGCAGCTCCAATAACACCGGACAAAGACCGTCTCCTGACTGTGAGTTCAACTAGCGTGTTTGTAAATCTCAGCAGTTGGCACAACGGTGGCTGTCCAATAACTGTCTTCGTGATTCAGTATAGGGCTAGTGGTCAACAGGAATGGACTCTGGTCAGTAATAATATTGTTCCAGAGCAACAGAACATAACCATAACGGATCTCATTCCCGGGACATGGTACACCTTGTTAATCACAGCTCGAAATGATGCCGGAGCAACAGATTCAGAGTATATCTTCGCTACGCTGACATTGTCCGGAGGTAAGATAGATTTTTATTATCCGCTGTAGGCGTTTGTAGGTTTAATTAAATTCTATTTTTTTTTAAATTTGTACAACGTTTGAATTAGTATTAAATTTAATGTAAAATTTGCATATTTTGTGTTTAAATTTAATAAAAAAATGCAAAATATTCATTTGAAATTATTTCAGTATGACTAAATAAAAAAGAAACAAAAATCTTTTTTAAAATATTATTCTCATGTTTTAGTGCAATGAGAAAAAATAAGTCAAGGGATGCGCTTCAGATTCTCCTTCTTTTTCGAATCTTTATTTTTATGTGAAATTTAAATTCAGAACAATTATTGTGTCAATAATTTTAAGGAAGGGTATCAGAAAGCTTTTTTTTATTTTTATATATCTCATTAGGACCCCGTAATATGTCATTTAATTGTGTTGTTATCATATAATGTAAAATTCAAACAGATTTGACACAATGCAGCCTATTCTATTAAACTGTGCCACTATAATCCGCTTTGAACTATCGAAATTAAATTGAACAGAATTCCTATTAAACATTCATTGTGATTCAATTTAGATAGTGTTATTTAAACTTCCATTTAAAAATTTCAAATAATACTTTGTGTTTGCTTTCTGGATTTAATTCATAAGAAAATCCATTATAATTTTATGAGTTAAATTATAATTAAATTCATAATTTATGATTAAATTTAAAATTCATGTTTAAATTCATAATTCTGTTTTAAAATTACTGTTTCAAAATTAATACAAACCAACTCAATATTCTGTTTTAAAATTAATAAAAAAACCGAAAATACATTTGTAAGTGTTAATTATTGTACCATAAATTCACGGTTTGTTATTTGTTTTATCTATTTCTTAACTGATTATTTTTTCTTCCTTTTTACTTTGTTTCAAATAATAACAATCAAATATAATAATAATAATAACAACAATTCATTCAAATTATTATTTTCTCACTAACATTTTTTTGCTCAATAACACTATTTCCCAATTTACTAGTTCATCAATTTACTATACCCTTTGTAAAAGAAATAGGGATTTGAAATTGACGTAATTTCTCCAATCTCCACACTTTTACTCTCTCCATTCCCATGGTTTCGAGAAATTTGTTTTTTTCCTACGCAAGTATGTTCCAGCTACTACTTACTGAAACATTACTGTTGAGGAGGAAGAAATATTTGCGGAAACCATAAAAATGGAGAAAGAAAAAATACAGAGAGTGGGGAAAACACATATCTGAATCTATTAATAAAAAGTATAATATGTTAAATCAATTAATTGACTCTTGCCTCATTTTTTTCATTATTAATTCAATCCCTACAAAAATTGTCACAACGACCTGGCATTCATAAGAATTATTATGACGTTTCAAACATCTAACACTGTTTAAATCAGGATTCTCCACAGTTACTTGTTAACTTGTTGTTATAGGCTTAACAAACTAAACAAAGTAGCGCGTTATTTACTAAATCCCACTTCGCCAGATTTTTAGTCTTCGTAATATACTTAATTGCTTGAAACGTATTCACAATATCATGATAAATTATACTACGGTGATCAAATGTACTCTGAATTGTGAGATGAAGCTAAATGTATCTATTTGTTAGTCAAAATATGTTTCAACTCCTTTCATAATTCTGTCCGTTAACTTCTCTGCGGTTCTATACTGACGTTTTTCCGCGACACTAATGCATGTCTTAAAATAATCCTTGTGAATGCTTTTCTGAGTTCACAGCAATTGTTTTTGATTCCATTTCATAAACTCTCAACAAATATCACAAGGAGTAATTCCAACGAAGAGAGAAAAAAATTACAAGATGCTTAATTTTATTTTATTTCCTAAACGCCGTTGAACAGCCGGCCCAAATTTTGGTTTACGACTATGTTTAATTCCGTAGACTTGCAATTTTGAACTCAATCCAGAAGACAAGGAAACTCCTGGATTAAGTATTGGGAGAATGTCGCCCTCGTTTAGATCTTTTTGACGGAATCAACCCGCATTTGTGTTGTGTGACGAATAAAACAAACCCCGGTTAGTCGGATACCAGGAGGGCTCTAACCCATGATCCGTCTACCACTATCGATATTTTACGTCAGCACTGTAGTCGGTGCGTGCCAAGTGCGAAATTCGTATCAGCGAGCCATCGCTCGGATTAGTACCCGGTTCACCTCATTGGAAGGCAAAAGCTCTCTCCCTTGAGCCACCACGGCTAAACAGTGCTTATCAAAAGAATACTGTGTACACAATATCATATTTGTTAAAAGATTCGTCAAAAGTTGACATATAGTGACTGCAGTGCGAGAAGGCGTGTTATAATGGCACCAGAGACATGAAGTTTTATCCCATATTTCATGACCTTACCCAAGAATTTAATCCCGCGAAACACCCAAATAATAAACTTCATTAACTGTCTGGGCTGTTGGTAATAATTCATGATGAACAACAAATAATTCATTAAGAACAATCAACATTACCTTGCTTTTTGAGAAACTTTGACAAAATTGTATTCCTTTCAAGCACAAATCAATTAATTACTGGACTGTTTCTGAATCAAAGCATAGAACCAATTTTAAAAACCAGTACTTAAAGATAAATTGGCGAGTAAAATTTTTTCTCGGCTTCCACTTAAACGCAGTACGAAATGGATTCTCAAATTTCACGAATCTTTCTTCATTTTTGACGAAACCGTGTCCTGGTATATGCTCCGAGCGAACATCTCGTTAAAGTGACGAAATAATAAACGTCACTTCTTCGAGGAAAAGAATTTTGTCAAAAGAAAAGAAACATTTCGTCATTCTAGTTTTGATCCTCTAGTTTTAATTCCATTTTCGTCATTCTAGTCAACAATTAGCCGCCATGCACGGCGATGAGGCTCCGAGTTGAGGAAACATTTTCGTCATATCTTTGAAAGTTCGCATTTTGTCACAAATCACGCGATTTTACAACGAAATCATTCTCAAAAGTAATGAAATACAGCTCAAGGCTTGTTGAATCTTCAAAAGTGAGCGTTTTATTTCTGAGAGTGAACATATTAATTTTGTAACAAGTTATAAGTTCTTGAAACAACTCGAGATGCGACACGTCTAAACTTAACGTTTTTTAATATATATTTGCTTGGCTGGAACTAAATGATACAGGAACTTGTTCAATAATTTTTCTTATTGCCAAACAATGATCACTGTGTATCAATCCACTAATTTTATGGATCATTAATCGAAGTTGATAATCAAACAAACCGCTGGATATTTCCCCGTCTTTTCATTTCCTTGATTAATAAAATACTATTATTTTTGAACATTTCAAATGCTTTTGTAGCTGAAATTTCATTCTGAAAATAAAAAATTATTATTGCTCAGTAGAAACTGCCATTGAACTGGCAACTCAGCAGAACTGCTTAGAAGTCATAAATGAATGAACGAATGGTAATTGGTGTACAAAATTTAACTGTACTTCATTCTAACTGTGCAGGTTCAGTTTAATTTTGATGAAGCGCTAATAAATAAATGGCCGGAACAGCTTGGTAGGTAGGGTGTTGGGTCCAAGTATAAAAGGTCGTGAGTTCATTCCCCTCCGACCAAAGACTCTCTGTGTGGTAAATGGTGACTAGTGTCTGTTATATCTGCCTGATCACAAAGTCCTCCATGTACCCATAACAAATCATTCCATTGGAGGTATTGAATTGGAGATTGATCGTTCTCTGTTTCTGGTCAAAGTAACGATGAATGAATGGATGTATGAATGGATTCGCCCTATAAACGTATTAACTGGTGGTGACATATGTATGGGGCTGTAGTGAAAATTGCCTTGTCGCGTGACACATTTCTTGGTCATAGATGGCGCCGCTGGAAAACAAGAAGAAGCGCACCTCCTTTGCCTTAATATCAAACTACAACATCTTATACAACAGAAACTGCCATTTTGGAAAATCGATGGAATGAAATTTTCTGTTGCTTTAAACACTAATTTGGTTTCAGAAGATAAAATTAAATGTCTACCTAACTGCTTACATAAGTTGAAATAAGTCATGAAAACGTTTGATAAAAGTTTGCATACGATATCAATCATTCATGAGTTTTAAATTAAACATTCCGGATATTTTTTGTAGCTGTATTATATCTGTTTAACAAATTCATGTATCTCTATCTTTTTAGAGTTAGCATGACCAAAAAAAAAAAAAAAATAAAAAAAAATAATCGCAAGTTAGATACCAATCATAAATATTTCGAGAGCAATTAACGGTGTAATAATATTAAAACTCATACTACCATGTTAAAATAAACTGTCTATTTAAGTTGGTTATTTAGCTTACAACTCCAGAAAAATATCGAAAACTGTTTTGAAGGGGAACAAACTTTTTTCCGATATTTGAAATTAAGATAGTATCCGAACCGAAACCATACGACAAGGGAACTCCTAGATCAAGTATTGCTACAAGCTAGCCTTTGTAGAAGACTAGACTTTTTGATAGAACTAGCCTGCATTTGGCATTACATGAAGAGGAAAACCATGAAAATCTCCCACAGTTAGCACGATGACTATAGAATTCTAACCTGTGATCTATCTACTACCTATTTTAGATGTCAACTTCTTTTTATTTCATTATTTACTAGTCTCTTGCTGTGGACAACTGATCTGACTGCAAAATCATCGCTTTACTGTTCGAATGGCATAGCGGGTTTTAAATTGTAAAAATATATATCATCAAGAACTAGCCACTTTTTGGTCCCTTTTTTACTTTTTTTTCTCTCCCCTTTTAAATTATCGACGAAATTTAATTTGAGGGTGGATCCTAGAATAGCTCACAAATGGGGAATTTTTTTTAAAATTTCGACAAGCAACTATTTGAAATCTCGCCAAACTAGGTTTCCAGAAGATATTTTGGGAGATTATTTTGAACGTCTGATCTTTCGCTGTAAAGGCCTGATTTCTTAGGAAAAGCGCCTTATTTGGGCGTCAGCGTTAAGTTGACGTTACCCTGACGCCAACAAAATACTGGT